CCCCGGAAGCCTATTCACACCTGGAATTGCCTTGCCCAGGTTTCGGGGAGACTCCCGTCGGCGCGTTCCGAACTACCCACCCACCTTCCCCCTGGCTCTCCAGTTGCCGACCTTTCCCTCTTTTCCTTTCGCACATTTTCCTAGTTTGTTCTTACTCCCTTCTTATTCTACCCCCGCCTCGACCCCCCAAATTTATCTTCCTATTCTTCCTCCCGTTCCTTCCCGGTATTCCCGGAGCCCGAAACTGGAACTGGGACTTATTGCCATCCACTTTTAAGTAACCGTCGGGTTTTCGGTTTTGGTTGTCTGACCATCCATCCCTCACAGGAGAACCACACAGGCAGTTTTACCCTTCGGGGAAGGCAAGGGGAGCGACGGCCCCCATTCCTGAGCCTGAAGTCCTTCCCCTCCTCCCACGCGGCCTGACAGCCCCGACGCGGAGGCAGCGGGGCTCGAACTCTCGGGACCCGACGCTTGGCGGCTACGGGATCACCCGGCGGGCGGACGGGCATCCGCCGGGTTAGCTCGGGAGTATGTGTGTTTAGCGTTGCAAGTTCCTGCAGAAATGTGCCTATAAACACCCGACACCCGGCTGCACCCTGCACCTACAGGGTTTTGTACACTTTCCAACCGAAACTCCCAAACGCTAAGAGTAGGAAGTGGGGAGCCCGCAAGGGAGAGAATAAAAAGACCTTTAAAGCTTGCATTTGCTCAAGTTTATCATGGATCCTACAAAGGACAGGGTTTCCACCCCCCCCCCACCCCCGAGGGGTGAAAAGGTGTAAGGAAGAACCAACATTTTTTTTTTCTTTCTTTTTCCGACCACCCCTCCCCAAGTGCCCAGTTTTTACTTCGAAGCCTCGGCACAGGCGCTGGATTTTCTCTACGAGTCAGTCTACACGGAGAGAAAACGCGCACTTTGCCCAGGAGGCGACATGCTTTCCCCCCACGTGCGAGGTGGAGTGCTTTTCACCCAGCAAAAGGAAGACTTTAGCACGTGGTCGGAGCGGCGACCAAAGGGAAAACTCGGTTTCTGGTCCAAGCCTCTCCGAGACGCTCCTGCCAACCTCCGCACCCTCTCGCGCCCCACCCCACCAGTTGGGGAGACCGAAACGGGACCGGGGGGCTGATTCGCTGAAAAGTGGGCGTTCAGGAGCAGTCCGCAATAGGAAGGGGAAGTGAATGGGGGAACTTGCAAAGGCGAGACTGCAGCGCGGGAAGCGTCCGAACCTGCGGGTCCCGGTGAATTGAGAAGGGGGACTCCACCCGCGCCCCTCCCCATCGCAACTACCTCTGCCCCCGCCCGCTCCCCGCCGGAATTTCTCTCCACAACCAGACTGGGGTAGGGGTAAGGCGGAGGGATGGGGTGAGAGGGCCAGAGACTTGAGGGTTCGCCACCCATGGTTTCTCCCCAGGGTGGGCGAGGCGCGGAGGTAGACCACCCGCCTGTTCCCCGCCCCCTCCGGGAGAGCCGTGGCTGGGGACGCTCTCTGTGCAGGGGGCTGGAGAGAGAGCCCCTCTCGATTAGTTATCAAGTGATGTCAAGAGGCTGGAAGCCCTCCCTGGCTTCTGTCCTTGCCTGTCAGGGTAGATTTATACTTTAAAAATACCTCTCTCAGCCCCCCTACCCCCGCCCGCCCCCCTCAGCAGCTTTCTTTGATCCATTCAAAGGCCGCTAAGTTTGAGTATTTCCTTTATGGGGTCTTCAAATGTAAGTTAGTGTATTTACCCGGAGTGACTCAAAGTTTGAGTCGGGAAGTCCAAGTTGAGTAAAATCAATAGGTGATTGTTAGGGACCGACTCTATTCCGAGGAACAAGTACTGCGCCCGAGTGTCAACGCTTTGAGTTTGTCATCCTCGAGTTGTTTCATTTTGAGTTTGCTACTCGGGTTTTTCAGTACGCTTTTTTTTTTCTTCCCTAAAACTAATGGCTTCCACAGCAATTAGTCATTTTCCTCGCCCGCTCCTCCCCTCCCCTTGCTTTCTATACAGTAGATTGAACACTAATTCTCGCGGCTATTGATAAGGACGAAGGCGCCCGGCCTCTCCCCAACCTCGCCCGCCGGTCCCTGCTCTCCCTCCGCCCAGCCTTGGCTTCCTTTTGATGTAGCGAGGAACTCTTCCTACCAAAAAAAAAAAAAAAAAAAAAGAAAGAAAAGAAAAAGAAAAGAAAAAAAAGTAATCTGCCCGGTAACAATCAGCGCGCAGTAGCAGGAGCCCCAGAGCCATTGGCTATGCAAATAGAGGGAGGGGAGACGGCGCCCCAAACTCTTACACACCCTTTTAAAGCGATATCCCCTCCCCCTACCCCTTCCGCCCCACCCTCGGTTAGGGGCTGGCCCCGGGCCTGAGTTAATCGCTAGCACCTCTGGTTTTATTCAGTCCCCGCCACCTCTATTCCACCACCCCCTCCTTGCAGGGAACAGAGTTAGCTGCTCACCCAGCCTCCCCCCGTGCCCCGTCCCCCCGCCACACACACACACACACACACACACACACACACACACACACACACACACACATTTGCTCTCCACACCCCGGTTCGGGCCCCAGTTCTCGGTAAAGGCGGCCCTTGGTAAAGGCAGCCCTCGGTAAGTCCAGGACCCCGACCCACGCCAAGCTCACTGCACGTGCCAGGTCGGCTAACACACTGGGGTGCTGGACTCACCTCCCTTCCCCCCAAAGTGAAGTAACACTGAAAGGCAGGGTAGGGGTGGCGAGAGGAAGGAGGTGAGGAAACGCCACCATAGCCCTGGTGAAAGCAGCCTTGACCCGAGGATGCATGTGAGCACGTGTCCTAGCCGACTGTACGGGCAGCGTCTCCACCGCAGCACCGCTCCCTGGGAGGAAGCCTGGCTGGCGAGCGAGGCGTGAGCCCGAGGGGCCTGCGAGGATGCGGACGAAGGACCGGGGGTGGAAGTCAGGGGCCTCGGAGGAAAGAAAAGGGTGGCATTTGCACAGGGTTAGGGAGGGTGAGCTCAGCCTCCCCCCTCCCCTCCCCCTCCCGGCTATTTCCTAGAAAGCTGTATCAGTGTGGCCACGCTCGGCGCAGACGCCTCGGTCGGCTCGTCAGCAGATACAAGGGCGCGGAAGCGGGTTTCTCCTGCGTGGCCGCTGGCCACGGAGGAACCGTGGCAGCCCCGTCCCCGCCTGCAGCGGCTCTGGGCGCCTCGCCTTGCCTCCCAATAGCGCCCCCA